GAGGAGGCGAAGCTGCTGTCGCTGGAGCTGGGGCTGAGCGGCAGCGATGGCGAGTCCCCGGGCAGCGCCCCGCCGCCGCCGCCCTCGGCCGGAGAGGCGTCGCCGCTGCCCGAGGAGCCCTCGGCCGCCTCCGTGGCCAGCAGCCGCCTGCAGCTCAGCACCTCGCTCGCCTTCTCCGACCTCACCGAGGAGCTGCTGGACGCCGGCACCGACGGGCTGCTCCGCGAGCTGGAGGATCTGCGCTCCGAGAACGACTATCTCAAGGTGGGCACGGCGTGGCGTGGCATCCCTGGCGCGGCTCGGTGTGGCATGGTATCTCTGGGCACTAGTGGTATAGCATGGCATCCCGGGGTGTGGGTCAGTCAGGGTCAGCATCCCTGGCTATAGCCTGGTTTAACGTCCCAGAGCTTTGCAGGGCATCTGAGGGCATGGCTCAGCATGGTGCAGCATCCCTGGCCTTAGCATGGCGTGGTGTGGAGTCCCAGGGCAGGGGTCAGCATGGTTTAGCACCTCTGGGCACAATAGAGTATCCCTTGTCATCGCAGCGTGGTGTCCCTGTGCACGGTGCAGCGTGGCACAGCCTCCCTGGCAATGGCAATGGCACAGCGTGGCACAGCATGCCAAACTATGGCTCAGCGTGACACTGCATCCCTGGCAATGGCGTGACGTGGCATGGCACTGCGTCCCAGGGTGTAGCTCAGTGTGGCACAGCATCCTCGGGTCCAGCCTGGTGCAGTTCAGCATCCCAGGGCATGGCTGGGCACGGCTCAGCTCAGCCTGGCCTGACTCCGATGAGCAGCACAGCACGGCACGGCTGGGTGCAGGGCTTGGCATGGCTCAGCCCAGCATGGCATCCCTGAACATGGCACAGCCAGGGCTGGCCTGGCATGCTGTGCCTGGCCTTCACTTGGCACATCGTAGCATGACTGGATGTAGGGCTGGCTTGTCTAAGCCTGGAATGGCCACCCTGAGCTTAGGGCAGAGCATGGCCCAGCTGGGCATGGTCCAGCGTGGTGTGGTGTGTCTGGGCACCACTCAGCTGCATGTTCCATGGCATGGCTCGGCACAGGGCAGCCTTTGGCACAACATGGGCCAGGTTAGCCAGGCGTGACCCCGGCTGGGCATGGCTTGCCCTGGCACGGCACATTGGGTGCAGCACGACCAAGCCCAGCGTGGATCCAGCTTGGCATGGCAAGGCTTGGCACAGCCTGGGCTGGCAGAGCTTAGCAAGGCACAGCTCAGCATGGTATGGATGTGCTCAGCCCGGCTGGGCATCCTGGGACACAGTATGGCATAACCTGACCCCCTGCAGTTGGGCACGGCTCCCTGCTGCTCTCCGTGCCTGCTGCTGCTGCCAGAGCCTGGGGACATTTTCCAGCTCTCTTCTGCCCGCTGGTTCCTGTGCTCCCTGGGGCCTTTTTCCGGGTCTGCCTGGTTCAAAGCGACGTGGTTGAGCCAGGGCAGATGTGCTGTGCGGGAACAGGGACACGGAGCCGTCCCACCTGGTCCCACATCAGCCTGATGGGCACCAGCACCCACCCAGTCCTGGTGCAGGCATTCTGTGCCCTCCTCAGGGTGGAGCTGTGGCTGAGCTGCTTGGGCAGTCACCTGCTGGCGAGCTCAGGGCTCCCCAGCTACTCTTTGGGTGCTGCAGGTTGGAAGTCAGGCCAGCTCTCCTCTGCTGCTGCCCAAGTTTGTGAGAGTGTCAGGATTCCAACCACGAGGTGGGCATTGGGTGATGCTGGAAAATGCTCAATCAGGCCCCTTGTCCATTAGCAAAGCCCCAGATCACGGCTGGTGTCCCAGCTCCTGCCAGAATTAGCAGCAACAGCTTAAGGGCTTTGATTTACTGGGGGCTGGAAAAACGCAGATGAGGCCCCTGGGTTTCCAAGAACACGCGTGCGAGCGCTGCCATTCCTGCGGGTAGAGCGAGCCTTCCTCCCCTCCCGTGTGATCTCCTTCCTGGCCAGCTGCAGGCCAGCAGGGTGGTGTGAGTGATTTACCTGCCCTGAGGGGTGCCAGCTGAAATCCCCTGGCCAGGAGCAGTGGAGAGGGGAGAGCTGCTGGAGGCATGCACCAAGAATTGCCACAGGGATGGCATCGTCCCTTCTTTGCCAGCTCTTGTGTCTCCTCCCTGACATGTGCATCCTGCTTATATCCACGTTTCCGTGTTGTAGCTCACTTCTGCTGGCTCTGGAGCAGGAGATGGTGGGGTGATACCCTGGCTCCAGCTGGGCAGAAGCCCAGAGCACACGCCTCTCGTGCTCCAAAAAATGTTGGAAGATTTGCCTAGTTTCTCCAGCAAGGAGCGGAAAACTGGGCTGGGCTGCAGCAGAGTGCTGGCTTGTGCCATCTGTGCTAAAAATTCAGGCATTTCAGTACTGAAAACAAAAATAAAGCCCTAACCCAAGGGACTGGCACTGCCCATCTTGCCATGCAGCTCTCCTCTGCTCGGGTGGATGAATCAGACTTATCCCAAGTGACTTATTTCCTAAGACTCACCCAAAAAGCTGCAAATGAATATTTTTTTCATGTATTCATCAGCATCAGCTAAAACCTAGTGCGTATTTAGAGCGAGATGAGGATTTTTGGGGGCGGGGGAGGGCTTTGGTGACGTTCTGGCACGAGCCAGACGTGTGTGGTGCTACTACGCCCGTGTGATGCACGCTGGGTTTGGGAGCTTCCCAGCAGAGCTCCAGCAGTGCCAGCTCACGTCCCATCTTTCCTCAGCTGCCATCATAAAACCGACTTGTTTAAGCACACTTCACCCATTTCTCTTTGCAGCTCGGATTTGTGCAAGGCTCTGCTCTCCTCCTCCCACTCTGGCTGTACTGGGCGAGCTGGGATCTCCTCTTGCCCGTGCTGTCAGGCTTGTGCACCTGCTGGGACCCCCCTGAATGGGTTATTCCGAGCGTTTTCCCAAAAAGGGCTGTTTTCACGGGCGGGCTGGCAGCCTGGTGAGGGAGGAGGTGCCTTGGTGTCCTTGCCCCGTCTCGCTGTTGCGATGGAGAGCAGCTCCCAGCCCTGCTCAGCAGGCTGGAAAATGTGAGATGTGATACGGCAGCAGCTGCAGAGGGACAGGCAGACAAAGAGTGGGCACGGGAGGGTTTGGAGCAAGGGGAGGGGATGCCTGCAAACCCTTTCCTCTCCTCTCTGAGGGAAGGGGTTTAGGCAAGAGCCGTGTAACGCTGGCAGCACAGTGCTGCCTGCCCTTTCCTGCTGCCTGTCCCCCTCCTGTTCCCTGCCCTGAGTCATCCCACATCCCTTGGGGCTCTCACACCTCTCCCAGCTCTGAGGAGGAACATTCACAGTAGCTGGGGTGCCTTGTTTCCCCAGGGTAGTCGTGCCACCAGCAAGGGCTCTCTGAGAACATCCCCCAGGGTACTGGGGGCTGTGTCTGGGCAGCCTGGCTGGCACTGAGTCCCTGCTCTGCTGCTGCTCAGACACAGCCACAGGGGCAGGGACCATGCCTGGAGCCCCAGTAGGCACCTGCAGAGCTCTGTCAAGCAGCCACCCTGAAGGGGGTTTTGCCCTCTTGCCTTTTCAGATGTGCACAACATGGGTTGGGCTGCAGAGAGCCCCCAGCTGTTTGCCTGCTAATTTATGGGGGCAGGTGTAAAGCTGAGAAATGTTGATTTTTCCCTCGCTCCCATGGCCGTGCCAGCCAGGGGCAGGGATCAGCGCACAGGCTGCTGCACTGAGCTCCAGCACGACATGGATGGCCAGTGTTTGCTGTCAGAGCTGGCCCAGAGCTGCTGTTAATGCACCCAGAGAAACCCCTGTGTGTGACATGGGTGTGCCTTGCCCATCCTTCCACCCATTGCACGCTGGCATGGGCTTGTGCTGCGCTGCATTTTCTGGGCTCCCCTTGCTGGCAGGGGGTGCCTGAGCACCCTGGGCAGTTTCCTTTAAAAATCCCCTCTGATTTTTCTTCTTTTCCCTAGCAAATCCAGCCATAATTCCCTGTGCTGCCTGACGGGCGCTGAGAGTTAATGGCAAGCTGCTGCTTTTGTGCAGCAATCTCGGAGGAAGCCGTGCTTGTTGCTCTGGTGCACGGTAATCCCCGTCTTTGCACGGGGGTCGCGGCACACCCGCTGCCAGCGCGGCACAAAGGCGGCTCTGCCACACACCCAGCCGGCTCCCGGCCTTCCTCCTCCTCTGCTGAGCTTTGGGGGTGAAGCTGGAGGGTGCAGGCAGGGCTGTGCCCCCCAAAATGCTGCCCGCCCCCCACGGGCAGGCTGGTGCTGCTGGGCTGTGCCCCAGAGCCTGGGGCTGCCAAGGTGAGGGGTTGTGCTGCCAGCCAGGGCTGTGCTGCACCAGCCTCTTTTGTGTCCCTCAGTGTTTCCTGCTTCTTGGAGGTAGCAGGTCCTGCTGGGCTTGCACAGTGTGTGTCCCCTGCTCTGCTCAGAGCTTGCTGCATTCTTGCAGGTGCCAGTGTGGAACTCCCCTTGGGTAGGAGATCCGAGGGTTTCATTCTGCTTCTGGAAGCTGTGAGGGGTCTGGTGTGCACTCTGAGCTGTGCTCTGCCATCTCCACTGGTCCTTCTCCTGCCCTGTCACTGCCCAGGGTCATCATCCTAAAGCTCAGCCCTTCCTGAAAGAGCTGATGCCCTTCAAGTGCATGTGTGGACACAGCTGTTGCCTCCTCCTGCTCTAAAAATGCATGTTGTTTTTTTTTTCTGGACTGGAAACAGGCAGTTTGCATCCCACCTTTCCGCTTCTTCGTTTCCTTAATAATCTCCCCAGGGAGAGACAGTGTCTGAGGTTTGTGCAGAGGAGGTTGAAGGTAGGTTGTCTCTTGAGCTCCTCCACTGAGCAGAACCTGGCTCCTGCAGCCACGAAATGGGGTGTTTGCTTCTGCACACAATCCCTGGGGCATTCAAATGAGCCTCTCTGGGCTGCGGATTCCCAGTGTTTTTTTCCGATATGGTGGATTTCTAGTGTGAAAGCACTGTGAAATCTTTGCTGCTCCAGAGATGGGATGAGCGGGATGCAGTGGTGGGTGATGCTGCAGGACAAGCAGAGGAGCAGCCCAGGGGTGCTGGGAGGCTGTGACTCGCAGAGGGATGGGCACCCTGTTGTTTACAGGGCAAGTGGCCCAGCAGGGCAGTCCCCAGGGGCATTTGTGTTGGAGAGAAGTCATTTTTCTCCTCCTCATCTTTTCACACTTCAATTAACATCAGTAACAGTGCTCCGAGCTCAGTGCCACCCCTGAATTTGGGATGTTTCTGTGAGGTTCCTCCCCTCTCCTGGTTCTGCTCTCACCTTAGTGCAAATAAAGGGGATCTGGGCATCAACCCCGGAGTGTTCAGGTCGGGCATCAACTCCAGAAAATGTGCAGGTGCAAAGGGTGAGGCTCTGTGGCCATCATGGACCCCTGAAGCTGTGAGGGGACCCCAGTGCACCCCGTGTGCTGCCTTAGCAGATCAGCTCTGTCCTCCAAGCTCTCTTCCAGTTTGCTGGCATTTTTCCACTCTCCAGTCCTAATCCCTTTACTGTGGCTTAGCAGCATGGCTTGCCTCCGTGGGGCAAACTGGGGCAGGCTGTGCGCCTGCCAGGCTGCATCCACTCAGAGGATTTATCGCTCTTACGGGATGTGGGTGAATTCCTGCAGCTGCAGCAAAGACAGGCACTGCTTTCCCAGCCCCCAGTGCTGCAAATCCCCCAGCCCTGCTCCATGGCTGCACTTCCAGGCTTTGCCTGGGCTGGATACGCTGGACACGGCCTCCCCCTAAAATAACGGTTGCTACAACCCAAAGCAAAAACAAGCAGGAGCTCTTAGCAGGGCAAGCCCAGGCTCCCTTCCAGCAAATGCAAGATGTGGTTGGGTTTTTTCCAAAGTCCCTGCTCCCTGCCCTGCTCAGCTGCTGCCTGGGAAAACCACATGGCAAGTGAGAGCTGGAATGGTCAGCACTGAAGGAGGATTGCAGTTGTATTCAAGCCACGATTCGCCTGACTTTGGTGGTGAAAGGCTGTTTTCCCCCACCCTCTGCAGTGTGCTTGCTCACCTGCAATGCATAATGCCTTTTTTCCTATGAAAGCTTCCAAGGAATGGATGCCATAAACCAGCTCTCCAGGCTGGTTTGGTTTATGGGGGTTTTGCTGGTGCTCCCAGGGCTGGGGCCCTGCCAGGGGGGGAGGCAGTGCTGGTGGGGGAATCCCTTCAAATTTGTCACCCCAGGGTGCATGCCATCCTTTGCAGGGCTGTCTGCCAGCACATGTGGTTTGTCCCGAGGGGGTTTCACACCTGACATGTCCAGGAGGTTTTCTCAAACATGTCTGCAGTGATGCCCCTTCACAGGACAGTCTGTGGCTGTCCCTGGAACAGCCAGGCCCGGTGTCCCCAGGACCCCCTGTGCTCATCTCAAAGCCTTGGGGCTGTTTCTGTTCTGAGACAGAACAGAAGCAGATCTGTTCTCGAGACCCCCTGTTGAGAAGCAGAGCAGTGGAGGGTGACAGGACCCTGGTGGCCGTGGTGCCGGCAGCCCAGGCCAGGAGATAATCCGGGATTGTCTAATTGACGTTCCTCCTTTGTCACAAAGTGTTTAAAGCCAACAGTGAGCGACTGTGACTTGTCCCTGCAGCTGCCAGCCCTTTCCCCAGGCTTGGCTTCTCCTCTCGGGGAGTTCTTGCAGCTGGGGCTTTGTCAGGCCGGGTGAGTGTGGCAGCCACTGTGCCAGCGCCAGGCAGAGCCAGCACAGAGCTGCCATCTCGGGCTCTAAGTCACTGTCACAGCAATGTGGGGAGCAGTCCCCTGTCCCCTCTGCCCAGGGTGAATCAGGGCTGAGCATCCTCAATGCCTGTGCCAGATCCTTTTGTTCCTTCCATGACCCCACCATGTAGCAGAGCAGAGCGTGAGCCACTCACTTCTCAAGTGGCAATTGCATCTGGCAGTGTCAGGGGGTCTTCAGTGGCAGGAGTTTGGGCAGGAAAACAGATGCTTGATCCCTTCCCAGGAGGGATCCCTGGTCCCACTGGGTCTTGTGGAGGACAACAGCCGGTGTGAGGGCTGGAGCGTTTGCTTGGGGGATTTGGGTTGACATCATGTTCATGGTGATGTGGACAGAGCTTGGTCAGTGCCCAGGGACCAGAGGGGACAGTCCTTGAGCATCCCCATTGACCACAGTCCTGTTCTGGATGAACATGGGCACTGGGGACCCCACAGTAGTCGTGTGCCATAGCCCTGGAGGAGGCTTTGGGTCAGTGCTGGTGCCAGCAGGATGTCACCCTTGGCCCTGCTGTGACAGTGATGAAATTGCTCTGTCCCAGTGCAGATCACTGGGAGAGCGGAGGGGACTGGGAAGAGGTGGAACAGAGGACCCAGCCCAAGGACTGCTGCTTGGTGGCAAAATAAAGAGCAAACTCTGGTCCCCAGCACCAGTGGCATCTGGTTCATGTCCCCACGTTGCCTCCCCTAGCAGCTGTCCTCGCCTGCCATCTCCTCCTTCCCTCGCCTGCCTCCCTGACACATCTTTTCCAAACATAACCTAATTTTTCTCCCCGTGGCTGCTGCCTGAGCTGCTCCTGCAGCTCCTCTCCCTCCCCCACCTTCCTCTTTCTTTTACCACAAATACTCTCAGGCGCTTTTGTTGGCTCTTCCCCCTCAGACAACCGGCTCACCCCTGGGTGACAGAACCCAGCTGGCTCTGAGCCTTTTCCTGCAAGGATTGGGCTTGTCCCAAGGGGTTGAAGATCTGTGAAAATGGCTCATGGGATGGAAGGATGGATGGATGATGGATGGATGGATGGATGGATGGATGGATGATGGATGGATGATGGATGGATGATGGATGGATGGATGGATGGATGATGGATGATGGATGGATGATGGATGGATGGAGGATGGATGGATGGATGGATGGATGATGGATGGATGGATGATGGATGGGTGGATGGATGGATGGATGGATGGAGAATGGATGGGATGGATGGGATGGATGGATGGATGGATGGATGGATGATGGATGGATGATGGATGGATGGAGGATGGATGATGGATGGATGGATGGATGATGGATGGATGGATGGATGATGGATGGATGGATGATGGATGGATGATGGATGGATGGATGATGGATGGATGGATGGATGGATGGATGGATGGATGGATGGATGGAGAGCCATGGTGGGCAGCTGTCTCAGGGGAATAGAGGGCAGAGCAAGCTGCAGGATCTAACACAGCATCTCCCGGCAGGATGAGATCGAGGAGCTGCGCGCTGAGATGCTGGAGATGCGGGATGTCTACATGGAGGAGGACGTGTACCAGCTGCAGGAGCTGCGGCAGCAGCTGGACCAGGCCAGCAAGACCTGCCGCATCCTGCAGTACCGGCTGCGCAAGGCCGAGCGCCGCAGCCTGCGCGTGGCACAGACCGGCCAGGTGGACAGCGAGCTCATCCACAGCCTTGAGCAGGACGTCAAGGTCAGCCCGGGGGGCACCTCCCCACCCAGGCAGCCCCCAGAGCCCCTAAAGGGGGTTTGGATGAGTTGTGGGCGTGGAGGGGGCAGGGGATGTTGGGGTGCAGGGAGCTCTGTGAGGATGTGCGGTTTGTTTTGTTGGAGATGGAGTTTGTTTTGTTGGATGCTGATGTGGGAAGTGGGGAGCAGTGCTTTCAGCTCACAGGTGATCTGAGGGCATCCTGGTGCTGGGGAGGGCCAGCACTGCTGAGAATGTGCCAGGCTGGAGCCCAGCCCTGTGCCCTGGGGCTGAGCTCCCTTATCCTGCTCCTATGGGGCTGTGATGGGGCCACCACTGCAGGACGGAGCATCAGGAGCGTGCAGGGACCAGGACCCTGCAGCCTGGGGAGCTGCTTCTCTCAGTCATTGGGAAAACCTTGCAGAGCCCCAGGCACACAGGGCTGGGGGAGGGACAAGAGGATTTCTGCAGGGTGACGTTGCTGTGCCCTCCAGGAGCCTGGTGAGTGTTTGCTGAGGGCTCTCACCAACGAGACTGCTGCCAAGAGGGGGTGTGGTGGCAGTCGGAGACAGCTCGGGATGCATGTGCAGCAGCTCGAGGACTAACTCTGTTTTTTGAGCAGAAAACAGCCAGTCCTGGAGCCAAGACGTGCCATAAATGTGGGGCTGCAGACCCGCCCCGCTGCCCATCCCTGCTGGGGCCCCAATCCCCTCCCCAAACCACCCATCAGCTCCCCCCAGCTTTGGTGGCTGCTGCCAAAAACACCCCCTCCAGCTTCTCCCTTTCTGGGAAAGAAAGCACAGCTCATCCTCAGGGGAACAGGAGCCCGACCCCATGGCCTGAGATCCCCCAGCCCTGCAGCAGAGCTTGCTGCTGCCTCCCCAGTGCTGATATCCCAGCCTGTGCAGGAGACCAGTGGCATTTGGGACAGTTTTTGCTGTCCTGCAAATGCAGGAGCGAATGTTTTGTGTTATTAAGCTCCCTTTATGCTGGGGACTGCTCCTGTGCAGGGATCTGGAGAGGGGGAGCTCTGGGGTGGATGCAGGCACCCTTCACCCCAGGGCAGCTGCTGGTTTTTCTGTAATGTGATGCAGCAGCTCGCCTTTCTCCTGACCAGCACAGCTGCTGCCTGCAGTGACAGGCTGCCTGCTCTGCTGCTGCCTCCCAGCTCTTCCAGCTTCCTGGGGGCTTTTCCAGCTTTGTGGTATGGGAAAAAGGTGCTGAACATCTCCCAGCATCATGCTAGGGCTGGGGAAGGCAGGATTTGCCCAGGGGATGGGGACGCAGGGCAGCCTTGCAGCTGGTGAAGGAACAAGAGCAGTCCCAGGGGCCAGGGGGTCACCCCCAGTGTCTCCTCCAGAGGGTCTCAGTAACCACCTGGTGACCTCTGCATGAGAACTGTGGGTGCCCAGGAGCTGTAGTCTCAGCCCCCTGCACATTGTGCCCAGTCTGGTGGGAGCCCTGCTGTGTCCCCAGGTGGCCAAGGACGTCTCTGTGCGGCTCCACAATGAGCTGGAGGTGGTGGAGAAGAAGAGGATCAGGCTGGAGGAGGAGAACGAGGACCTGCGCCAGCGGCTCATCGAGACCGAGCTGGCCAAGCAGGTGGTGCAGAACGAGATGGACAAGCTCCGAGAGGTGAGTGGGACACGGGAGGGGGACCAGGAGGTGTCCCCAAGGCTCTGCTCACAGCAGGTGTCCTGGCCCTGGCTGTGGGATCCCCCAGCCCTGCCTGAGTCACTGAAACCCAAACCGTGCTACAGATGCTGGTGAAACCCGAGCAGCGCTGCCCTCCGCACGCTTCATCCCACCCTGCGGGCACGGGCTGGCTCTGCCCCATCCAGGGGGGGCTGCAGGGCTTCCCCACTGCACTGGGGACACTTTATATGTCCCTGGCCACTTGCTCAGGCCAGCCCCCTGGGCCGTGCCCAATTCCAACTGGGCAAAGCTCCGCATGATGTGTGGGGCTCCTGTTCCTGGCAGAGTGCCCGCTGTGGATCCTGAGCACATCCTGCAGGTTCAGACTGGGCTGAGATGTCCCAGCAGTGTCCCCCTGGTGTCCCAGTGGTGCTGTGGAGCTGGGTGGGTGCACAATCCCCTGGGCAGCCACAAATACACCCGTATGCACAGGTCCAGGGCATTCCATGTCATGCTGTGTTTGGGACCAGCTTCTGGCCGGGATCTGTGTCATCCTCGGTGACAGGAAAGGCATCCTGGTGACAGCATGGACTCGAGATCCATTGCAGCCCTTGTAACCCACTTCCCTACTGCCCGGGATGCCTTTGGTCCCGGGGGAGCCTCGGGATGCATTTCTGGCTGAGCCATCAGCGCAGTGTGGGGGAGGAGGCTCTCACTTCCCCCACCGTGCTTCCTGCACACGGCTGGGGATCTCTGGGGCCATCCCTGCTTAAAGCTGAGCCCAGCTGCAGGATCCAGCTGCTCCCATCCCCTCTCGGCCATCCCCACCCGGGGTGTCCTGTCCCCGGGCTGCGCAGCCCCCGCAGCAGCAGCCGTGACATGGCTTTCCCTGCAGGCCGGAGCATGGGCTGAATAACAAATGGCAGCAGCGGGAGCTGGGCTGGAGCTCTCCCACACTCGGAAAACAGGCAGGGAAAATGTTCGTGTGGTCAGCGTGGGGTGGGGTCCGGCCCCTCGCTGCAGCTGCCCCAGCCCTGGGGACACTGCTGGCTGGCACAGGCTCAGAGAGGGTCCCCAGGCTCAGGATGGCACATCCCCAGGCTAGCAAGGGCATTGGGGTTACTCGCTGATTGCAGAGTGCTAATTAGGCAAACATTAGACAAAGTGAGCTAAAAGCTCTCCTCCTCCCTGCTGCTGCAGGGCACAGAGCCTGGCACAGCTCATTAGCAGCCGGAGCCAGGACTGCACAGCCTCACCCCTCGGGGCTGATTATTCCTCCCTTCCAAGGGCTTCCTCCCATAACTGGGTAATTGTCTGGGGATCATTCCCGAAGGCACAGGCATTTTCCCCTCTTCTGTCTCCTAAAGGGGTAGGAAAAAGCGGGATCAAGCTGGGTCCCCATGCCAAGTTTGCCACAGCAAGCTTGGGTGAAGGGACCCTGAGGCACGGCCAGCCCCAGGCTGCTCCCAGGGCCAGCAGTGAAAACATCTGCCACATCTGCCCTGGGGTGCTGTTCTCGGGGCTGTCTGGGGCTGGTGCTGCCCTTTGCCAGCCACAGTTCCCAGCAGGGCGGGGGTGAGGGATGTGATGTGGCACAACCAGCCCCGGGAGAGGCTCTGCAGCTCCAGCAGCTCCAGGGATGGTCGTGGCCTTAATAGGAAAGCCTGGAGCCCGGCACCTTGGCACAGGCAGCAGCTTACATTTCACAGCTGCTTTCTTTGGCTGCTGGGCCTCAGCACCAGCTTGGAAATAGGTCCAGGGCAGCTGCATGGATCAGCCAGCGCTCATGGGAGGCTGTGTGGATATTCCTGAGGGTCTTGCCCAGCTCCCTTCCCCAGATATCTGGCTCTGCTCTGGACACCTGTATTTTTACCGTGCTTTTGGTCTGCCTTTTTGTTCTATCTGCCTTCCCCGCCTCCCAGCTGTCCTCACTAGCCTGGACATTGTCCCTTATGTCCCCTTGTGACCCTGACAGCAGAGTCAGCATCGTGCTGCTGAGGGCTCAGGACATGTCCCTTGCTTGGGAAAAAGGTGATGGGGAATGTCATCATCTGCTGATCCCACACTGGAATGTCCTGAGAGCTGTCCCTTGGCCTGGGGGTTGGATTCCCTGCTCCATCCAGCCCTGACAGGGACAGTGACTCAGCCTCTCCACTCTCCACGGCTCATTTCCTGCTCACTCCTGCTTTTTCACTGCTCGTTTGCCTGCAGGGGGAATTTCTGGCCAAACCTCATGATGTGATGCTTGCCAGTCTTCCTCAAAGTAAAGGGCCTCTCTCAGCCCACCAGGGCTCGGGTGTTTTCCTGGGGTCCACGAGCATCTGGGAATGTCAGTGTCCCTGTCCATCCACATTGAATCTGTCTGTCTGTCTGTCTGTCTGTCAGTCTGTCACTCACTGCTGGGCTGGGGTGCAGTGCCAATGCTGAGGGTCATGACTCTTTTTTTTTCCTGCAGAACTCCCTGAAGAAGCGGGGGTCTCGCTCCATGGGCAAGACTGAGAAGAAGCCGTCAGTGCAGGTATCAGCACCTGAGCACCCCAGGCACGCCACAGTGACCCAGCAACACCCAGGTCAGGGTGCCAGCTGGGGACTGAGCCCAGACCAGGAGTAAATCCAGCCATGGCAGCGCCATCCCCTCCTTGCAGGGCTTTGCAGAGCTTTCCTGCCTCTCAGAGCCCCTGCATAAGGGCGGGATTGATGTGCTGGGCCATCCTCTTTGTCCTCAACCGCTCCCTTGTCTCATTTATCAATGGAGCAGTGGTCTGCGGTGGCTTTAACCCTTTCCCTGTGTAAGGAGCTGCAGGTTTGGCTTTGACATTGCAAAGCTGCTTCTGTTCTTGTGGCTTTCACAGCCCGTGTCCCTTGTGCCAGTGCCAGCAGCTGTGCTTGAGGGTGCTCTGGGAGCTTCACGGGGTCTGGGGGAGCAGAGGGTCCCTGTGGGGATGGCTGGAGGCCACACCACTCCTGCCCCTCACAGGCTGCTGGGGCAGCACAGGGCTGGGGGATTTGCCTGTGGCAGGGGGATTTCAGCTGTCACTTGCTGTTGAGCTGAGCTGCTGTGACTCGCTAATGCTGTTACCAGGGCTCGGAGAGGCAGAGCTGCTGTTGCAGGGATAGAAAGGCAAGAGGAGAAATCCTCTTTCAAAGGCAGAAGACTTGAAGGGTTTATTTTGGGGAACGGATCTGCTCCCCCAAAGCTGGGACACAGAGGCAGACCATGCAAAGACACTCCTGACATGCTGCTGAGTGAGGCAGGAACCCTGAGCAGCACAAGGGGTTTGGGTGATCTGTGTCCTTCTTGGCACAGGCCCTTCTGTGCAGCCACAGGACACAGACCCCCCCCAGGACGTCAAAGACTTTCCCTTTCAGTCTTTATTTATCACCTCCCTTTAACTCCATTCTTGAGAGCCCATTCTGGCCAGCTGACAGTTCCAGCATCCTTCCCCTCATTTCCCCAGAGAGCTCTTACAGCCAGCTCTGCCCTGAGTTGAGTGGGCTCCTCCATCATCCCCTTCCTGAGGCTGAAGCCCCTCATCTGCCTCCTCCAGGGGCAGGGGACAACCCCAACCCTTCTGCTTCCTACCCCCCCATGGAGCTAAGACCCTTCAGCTTGGGGTCAGGGTGGTCCCAGTTCTGTGGTGGGAAGTGCTCCAGGAGCTCTGGGCTTCCCCAATGGGATCCCCCTCGCTCCCTGTCCCCACGCAGCCGTGGCTGGTGGCCTTTGGGCACAGATGCTGTGACTCATCTGTGGCTTCCTGGGCCCCTTTCCTGCCCGGCTGTGCTGGGTGAGCAGCAGCACTCCCCAAAAATGGAGCTGGAGGGAACAGACTCAACACTGAGGTCTGCCCGGACCCCAGGAGCCCTCCAGGTGGTCTTGGGGATGTGTGTGTGTCTCTTTGCTGATGCCAGGGCATAGAGGGATACATTGGGTTGCTGCTTTTATTTTTTTTTTCCCCTGGAAAAACAGGAACTGAGGTCATGTCTGCCCTGCCCGCTCCAGCCCTCCCCTAATCTCCTCACCTAATTAGGGGGGCACAGCTTTAATGCGCCTTAGCGAGGTCGTGTCCCAGTGCACAAGTGTGGAGGTGCAGCAGGGTGGTTCCTGTGGTCATAGCAGGACCTTTAGGGAATAAAATGGCACCCTAAACTCATGGGAACCCCCTTTCCATCACCTTGTTGTGAGCAGCCCAGGAAGTCTGCAGAGTAAATACTGCTGCAGGGTTTGGGGTGAGCGTGGGCATGGCTGGGGGGGCTGGGGGTCCAGAGCACCCAAAGAAGGGGCTGGTTGTTTTTTATAAGGCAAGGAATGGGGAAAAGGGGTGAGTTGAGCTGGGCAGAGAGCTGCCAGGGCCAGCAGCCACCCAGCCAAAGGGCTTGGCCACCTCCAGCGCTGCCCAGCTCCAGTGGGTGCAGTGAGGTGAGGGTCACAGCCTGGCAGGTCCCTTCCTGGCAGTGACCACGCTGGAGCTTGGAGCACTCAAGTGACCCCAGGGCACAGGAAGCTGCGAGCTGGACGTCAGGAAATCCTTGTCCTCCATCCAAAAAGCTCCCAGAGCAGAGAAACGGTCTGTCTGGGCAAACAGCCAAGATCCTAACTGCTAAATAATAAAGGAACACATGGAGAAACGGTCCTGAGAAGCAGAGGGGCTTGGGAAAGGACTAGTGAGCTGATGCTGAGGCTTTGCCTGGGTTTTCAGTGCCCTGGCAAGGTGGGTGCAGCAAGGCTGGGGATTGGGATTTCAAGAGGTTTTCAGCTGCTTCTCTGCCCTGTGATGAGCGTGGGGGGCTGAATGAGAGGAGCAGAGCCCTGACAAGGACATTGCAGAGCAACAGTGCCAGTTTTGGGGAGGAAACCTTAGTAACCCTGTGGAATCTTGAGAGCTTTCCCTTCTCCTCTGCCCTGTTGTGGATCAGGCTGGACTTGGTCCACCCATCCCTGGTGGTGGCTCAAGGGCTTCTTGGGGCAAGACCCACAGGTCTCCTCATCCAGGGCACGGCCTGTTTCCAGGCTCACCCTGAAAGCCTCCAGGATGGATCTCAAAGCTTTTCCCCCTCCAGGAGCAGAGCCAGCAGCTTCCCTGGGATGACTGGGGTGGGAAGGTGGCATGTCCCCAGGGCTCTCTGGGAGTCACCATGGCCCCTGGGAGCATGTTTCTAATACCCACCCCCTCCGGGTCCCCAGGAGGACAGCGCAGACCTGAAGTGCCAGCTGCACTTTGCCAAGGAGGAGTCAGCCCTGATGTGCAAGAAGCTGACCAAGCTGGCCAAGGAGAATGACGGCATGAAGGAGGAGCTGCTGAAGTACAGGTCCCTGTACGGGGACCTCGACAGCTCCCTCTCCGTGGAGGAGCTGGCTGACTCTCCCCATTCCCGGGAGGCCGAGCTGAAGGTCCACCTCAAGCTGGTGGAGGAGGAAGCCAACATCCTCAGCAGGAGGATAGTGGAGCTGGAGGTGGAAAACCGCGGGCTGCGGGCAGAGATGGACGACATGAAGGGCCAGGGGGACAGGGAGCTGCCGGGGCAGGACTCGCGCTTCCTGGTGGGTGTCTCGAGCTGCGGGGACGCGGGGGACACGGTGGCGGAGCTGCGCCGGCACCTGCAGTTCGTGGAGGAGGAGGCCGAGCTGCTGAGGCGCTCGCTGCTGGAGCTGGAGGACCAGAACAAGCTGCTCCTGAACGAGCTGACCAAGTACAAGTCGGACCACGAGCTGGACGTGACGCTGTCGGAGGACAGCTGCTCGGTGGTCAGCGAGCCCTCGCAGGAGGAGCTGGCCACGGCCAAGGTGCAGATCAGCGAGCTCAGCGGCAAGGTGAAGAAGCTGCAGTACGAGAACAGGGTGCTGCTCTCCAACCTGCAGCGCTGTGACCTGGCCTCCTGCCAGAGCACCCGGCCCATGCTGGAGACCGACGCCGAGGCCGGAGACTCGGCACAGTGCGTCCCCACCGCCGGCTGGAGGGACGGGATGGGCGGCAGCGAGGCCGACGGGCAGGACAGGGGGCTGGGCGGCGGGAAGGTGCCCGATGGCCCCGCCAAACTGCTCAAGCCCAAGGACCTGGAGACCTTGCTGGGCATCCGGGACCAGGCAACTCTGGTCAGTAAAGCGATCGATGTCTTGATTTCGGACGCCAACGGGTTCACTGCGGGGCTGAAGGCGTGCTTGGACAACGAGTGTGCGGGGGTGCTGCTGGGCGAGGCGGTGGGCAGCGGCGGCGACAGCCCCAGCGATGCCAAGCTGATGAACGTGCTGCTGATGCGGCTGGGCGTGCTCCAGCAGGACCTGGGCTGCTTCGTGAGGAAGGTGGACCACCTCACCGGCGGCTTCAAGGAGCACACGGACTCCTTCCCCTTCTCCAGCCCCAGCAGCCATGACATCAGCAAAGAGGGGCTGCAGAAGGAGCATGCCTCTGACTTCCAGGTACGGGTTCTTCCCACATCCCTCACAGCAGCTGCCGCTTTATTTGCCACCACGTTTCCTCCTGCTTTAACAGAGCAAACCCTGATCCCCGATGTAACCTCCCTCCTGCCTCTCCAGAGCAAAATCCAAACTAACACCTCACTGCATGCCAGTGGCACCGGGGACAAGGTAGGACTCTGCTCCAACAGAGTGTGCCCAGGGCAGGGGGCAGTGGACATCCTGGCACAGGCTGGTTGTGCCAAGGCTGCCCTGCCCATGGCCAGGGGCTCTCGGGTGCAATCCCACCTTAGCAGGGGCTGATGTTTTGGCTGCTCTCCCTGGCTTAGCCAGCATGGTGTTTCAGAAGCTCTTTGCTTGTTGGGCAAGCTGGGTGGGAAGAGAGCAGCCTGCAGCACCTCTGAAAGCAGCCCAAATTGCAGGGACCCCACTTGCAGGAATCCTCCATCCCCAGAGGTACCCAGGCAGGGTAATTTGGAGAGCAAAGGCTTCAGGGCAAATCTGCATCCAAGGCAGAACACCTTTGGAGCAGTGCAGAGCAGCTCATGCCCTGCTGTCCCGCTGCTCTCAGGGGTCCCAGCTCGTGCTGGGGGTCAGGGATGTCAGTGGTGGATGGGGCTGCAGACACAAGCCCCTTTCTGGAGCACACTCGCTTGTTCAGAGTCCTATTGTTCTGCATGTGGTCCCCCCAGCCCGAGGTCCCAGTCTCCCCCAGTCACTGCATGGCACCGTAACCGGTGTTTGCACATTTTTTCCCTCTTTCTCTCTTTTTTCCCCTTTCCCCAAACAATCCAGGCCACGTGTCTCCTCATCCTGTGTTTCCTTTTGGTTTCCGCATTGTCTCCCACCATGGTGGTGAAGCTCCTTCTCCTCCTCATCCTTTTTGTTGTCTTGTAGTTCTTTACTGTTTCGGAGACCCATTGTTTTGTTTTCTGGCTTTTTTTTCTTCCCGCTCTTTTGGTTTGTTCTCATTAACTTGCCCACGCATGCAGCAGCCTGATTTTAGGGACGCCGACCCTTTCCGCATCCCCCACACCAAGGACACGGACCCCGCACATCCCCGGAGCTACAGAACCTGCCGGGCCGAGGAGAACGACTCCTACGCCACCGAGGTACGGCACAGGCAGGGAGCCGTGTCCCCTTGGCCAGCGGGGTTGGGGACAGGGCTGTGGGACGGGGTTGACCCTTTGGAGAGCTGGCGACAAGGGAAGCTGCAGAGCCTGGTCAGGGAGGGACACAGAGAGGTGCAGCCCACCTTTCCCATCCCCTTCCCGGGCTCTTACAGATGAAGGAGCTGCAGCTGGTGCTGTCAGAGGCCAACGAGAGCCTGCGGGGGCTGCAGGAGCAGCTCTCACAGGAGAGGCAGCTGAGGAAGGATGAGGTGGACAACTTCTCACAGAAGATCTGCCAGGTGAGTAGGTAACAGCCTCTGCCCCATGAGACAGCTGTCCTCAACCCATGGTGGTGCCACCTCCAGCCCAGTGACCCACGTGGGGACCTGGGTGCCACCTGGGAGCACACACAGCATGTCCCACTTTAAAGGCTGAGCACACTCCTCTTTGCACATGGGCACGGAGCCATGCAGGACTTCCCCCATGGGACTGCCTCAATGGCCCTGCTGTCCCCAGCATGCTCCCAGGCTGGTGCAGGTCCCCCAAATGGGGACATGGGGCTGGCACCAGGCTCAGCCCAGACCCTGGGGTGGAGGCATCACATTGCTGCCACCAGAGCCTGTCCTGGAGCCACTGCTCTCTCCACAGCTGAAGGAGGACCACCAGAAAGCACTGCTGCGACGGGAGTTTGAGCTGCAGAGCCTGAACCTGCAGAGGCGGCTGGAGCAGAAGTTCTGGAGCCAGGAAAAGAACCTGCTGGTGCAGGAGTCACAGCAGTTCAGGCAGAGCTTCCTCCTGCTCTTCATGAAGCTCAAGTGGTTCCTCAAGCGCTGGCGCCAGGGCAAGGTGGTGCACAGCGAGGGCGAGGACTTTTTGGAGGTACGGTGGGCTGCCATGGAGGGGTGACCACACTTTTGGATGTGTCCCTTGTGCCTATTTGCCCTGCCTAGCACTGCTTGGGTGTCCCCCATCCCTGGCCAGGGGCTGTGGGTCCCCATATCACCCCAGGCATGGTGTCACCCGCAGGTGAACAGCATGAAGGAGCTGTACCTGCTGCTGGAAGAGGAGGAGCTAGCCCCGCAGCAACAGGCAGACAACAAGATGTGTGCCGGGGACACCTGGACCCCCAACACGGTGAGCAGGGTCCCCACGAGCTCGGGGGTGGATCAGGGTAGGATCAGCCCCTGCTGTGGCTGTGTGGCGTGGGGTGGTGGCTGCTCTCGGGGTGCATGGCTGGGCGGGGATGCTCCTCCACAGGACATCACCCTGAGTGTGGTCCCCTGCCCTGGTGGGTCCCCTGTCCCTCACCTTGGCAGCAGCCTGCAGGGCTGGGATCCAGAGAGGGGAGCTCCCATAGAGTCCCACCCCGTTGCCTGTGTTCACCCCTGTCCTCCTGCAGCCCAACGAGTGCATCAAGACTCTGGCAGACATGAAGGTGACCCTGAAGGAGCTGTGCACGGAGCTGCGGGAGGAGCGGCGCGGTGCCAGCGAGCTGCAGCAGCAGTTCACCAAGGCCAAGGCTGCCTGGGAGATGGAGCGTGCCGAGCTCAAGTGCCACATCGCCCAGGTGGGGGCCCTGGGCACCCCGTGGGCTGGCAGAGCTCCCCCATGTCTTCTGGGGGGCTGGGGGCCTGCCTGTGCCCTGTGCCAAGCGCTGGGCTGGGAGCAGGGTGGCACTGTGGGAATCTTAATTAGCAGCCACTCAGGCAGGAGAGTTTCCATGGCAACGGGGCTGGCATGGAAATCTGACTGTGGAGCAGCAGAGGATGCTCTTTATTCCTATCTGGGGAGGGTGGGATGGGACAGGGGCTCAGCATCCCTCCTGAGGACAGGCAGCTGAGAGCAGCATCAGAGCCCACCTCTCCCCACCCCAGGTCACAGCGCAGGATCCCTGCAGATGCTGCAAAAGGGATGCATGGCTGCAGGGAAGGCAGGAGGTGCAGGGAGGGCAGCCTGGGCACTGGGGGAGCTCCTGCCTGTAGGATGAGTCCCATCGGTCCCTCAGCCCTGCCCTCCCAGTGCTGAGAGGTTTCCACTCACGCTGTGCTGGCAGCAGCCCATGGCTGTACATCAGCTCTGCTCCCCAGCACAGGTGCCAGCACTTTCCAGGCAGGATTTCTCCTGGCAGAGCATGTCCCCAGTTCTCATATTTCCTCAAAAGTGAGCAGAGCAGCCGTAGTGGCAGCACCCCAGCAGTGCTGCACCCTTGGGGGACACTCTGGCAGCACTGCAGGTGATGCTGCCCCTCTCCAGGAGCCATGTCCTGCAGGCAGGAGCACAGCAGGGCCAGTAGGACATTCAGCCTGTGTCCTGCTGGGTCACCATCTGCTGGGCCGGCTGGCATGACGTGGCTGCAAGCCAGAGCTGGCCATGGCTTGGCCGTGCCATGGGGAAGCCATGTTGTGTGTGTCACATCCTTGGGGACGTGCTTATTGCCCAGCCTGGCAGCATGGGACTGGCAGTGGCAAGCAGGATGCCCGCAGCCCTGCCCATTTGCTGGAGATGTCCAGCACCACGCTGGAGCCACAGGTCCCTCACAGCCACCACCATGTCCCCACAGCTGGAGTCAAAGGCAGGCAAAGGGATCGCGGAGCGTGCGCTGCCAGACTGGAAGGTGGCACTGAAGAGGGAGCGTGAGGAGCACCAGCATCTCCTGGCCGAGTCCTACAGCGCTGTCATGGACCTCACCAAGCAGCTGCAGATCAGTGAGAAGAACTGGAACCAGGAGAAGGTGGAGCTGCTGGCTCGCTTCAAGGAGGAGCAGCAGCAGGCAGAGCAGCAAGCGAAGGACCTGCAGAACAAACTTAACCAGGTATAGTGTCCCCCGTCCTGCACGTGTCCTCCAGCCTCTGCTGCTTGCCCCGAGAATGTTTCATGCTTTTGCTTGCCCAGAGAGGCTCATGTTGCAGCTGTTGAGTGACCAATACATTCTCCAGTTGCAGAAAGGATCCAGTCCGTGGGCATTGAAGCACTCTGAAATGGAGAAGCATGGCAGCAACTGGAAAGAGGTGGGTAACGGAGGGTGGAGTGCTCTTAGAGCTCGGGTCTCTGCTAAGGGTTAGATGGGAGGATGTGAACACCCCAGTGAACACCCCTTAAACAGCAAATGAGGCTGCAAGGGAGAGCACCAGGAGAATGAGAGCGTGAAGGGCATGGCTGGACCCCAAGAGCTACTGTGAGGTTATAAAAAGCTGATTTTAAATAGATGTGGTTGCAGCAAGCTCCATGCAGTCCTGGGACTGCTGTGCCTCAGTGTGTGGGGAAGCTGGTGGTGCTGGAGGGGAGCAGGATGCAGCCCCTGAGCTCCTGCCCATCTCTGTGCTCTGGTCCTGTGCTTGCTGACCCTGGAGCTTTCTCCTGTGCCCTCCTAGGCTCTCAATGAGAAAATCACAGACAAGGAGACAATCTCTGAAGCAGAAGCCAAGGGAACCAACCTCAAAAGGTGAGTGTGCTGGTGCCTCCATGGTCCCTGGAACATAGGAACATGGAGGGGGGCCCTGGGCTTGACTTCCCTGAGAGTAACAGGGAGATGCAACCGTGTTCCAGGGTAGTCCTGGAGGCAAAGGGCTCCCTGTGAGGAGCAGGACTGGGTGCCCAGGGAGGTCCAGGCCCAGGGAGGGTGGGAGCAGAGTTCCTCAGCTGTCGCCCAACCCCCTGTCCCCTTTTGATCCCCATCCTCTCTCCTCCCACAGGACCAAGTCTGTTTCCTCCATGTCAGAGTTTGAAAGCTTGCTCGACTGTTCTCCCTACCTCCCTGGAAAGACCGTGCCAGGGCTGGGTGACCATGCCCGGGGCAAAAAGGCATCCTCGACCACCCAGATGCTGCCCAACGGGATCCGGGACAGCGCCAGCCTTCCTCCCTCCAACTGTACATATGTGAATATCGAACAACCTGCCCCTGACAGCCTGGTCAAAGAGAAGCTGGGCATCTCCTCCTGGGACTACTCACAGGCAAGCGGCCTCTCTGGGCACGACCCAGCTCAGAAACAAATCCAGAGGAGCTACACGGCGCCCGACAAGACTGGGATCCGCATCTACTACAGCCCGCCGGTGGTGCGGCGGCTGGAAGCGCCTCTGGTGCACAACAAGGAGGGCAAGATCATGATCGAGCCCGGATTCTTGTTCACCATGGCCAAGCCGAAGGAGCCGGAGGAGTCGGCCAGCGCCGAGGGCACCTACAGCCAGTGGCTGTGCAACTTCTCCAAGCAGCAGCAGGAGCTGCTGGACAGCGGCGCGGGGGAGAGCGCGGTGCCGCCGGTGCCGCGCTTCCCCCCCTCGCTGCACGACCTGGAGATCTCCGGCAACATGAGCGACGACATGAAGGAGATCACCAACTGCGTGCGCCAGGCCATCCGCTCCAGCTCGCTCGAGAGGAAGGTGAAAAGCACCTCCAGCCAGACGGTGGGGCTGGCCCACGTGGGCACACAGACCATCCAGACGGTGAGCGTGGGCCTCCAGACCGACCTGCCCCGCGGCGCCGGTGTGCACGGCAAGAGCTGGTCCCCGCGCAGCTCCTCCCTCATGTCTGTGCGCAGCAAGCAGATCTCCTCCTCCCTGGATAAGGTCCATTCCAGGATCGAGCGGCCATGCTGCTCCCCAAAATACGGCTCTCCGAAGCTGCAGAGGAGGTCTTCCTCCAAGCTGGACGCCTCCAAGGACAGGAGCCTGTGGAACTTGCACCAGAGCAAGCAGAATGGCTCTGCCTGGGCCCGCTCCACCACCACCCGCGACAGCCCCGTCCTCAGCAACATCAACGATGGCCTGTCCAGCCTGTTCAGCGTGGTGGAGCACGCGGGCAGCACCGAGTCCATCTGGAAGCCGGGCTGTCCTGAGAGCAGCCGGGCCAAGCCCGAAGCACCCAAGTACGGCCTCGTGCAGGAGTTCTTCAGGAACGTCTGCGGGCGGGCGCAGAGCCCCACCGCCCCCCAGGAGAAGAAGGAGGTCACTGGGGAGGAGAGCAAGAGAGCTGAGCACCCCAGCCCCACCACCCACCACCCAGCCGAAAACATCACCCGTGTCTTGAACAAGAAGGTCCTCAAGCAGGGCAGCTGCGAGGACCCCAAGCCCTCGTCCCCTGGCCAGGGCAGTAAGGACGCAGCCCTGCGGGACCCCGAGCTCATCTCGGCCATAGCCAGCGAGGTAACGAGGCACGGAGCCCCCCGGGGTGTCCCGCCGTGGCGGGGATCGGGGTGCCTGACCCCTCTAACTCCGCTGTGCCCTGTCTATCTTTGCAGGACACGGCGTGTGACTGCAGCTCCCAGTCCCTCACCTCCTGCTTTGCCCGGCCTTCCCGCTCCGCGCTCCGCCACTCCCCCTCCAAGTGCAAACTGCACCCCGCGGACCCCCCCAGGGCGGAGGAGAAGCCGGGGGCCTCGAGTGAGTGAGGACGGGGGCCCGGGGGACACAGCGTGCCTGCCATCCACTGTCCTGCCAGAAGAGTGCCCGCGCTGAGCCCGCGGGGCTCCTCTCGGAGGCGGCACGGGCTCATCTGTCTCCTAAACGTCCCCTCGGCCCCAGGGACGCTTAAGAAGCAGATGTGGAGCTGGAGGCTGCCAGTAGCCCCGGGCTGCGGGGACACCCTGCCAGGGTGGCTGCATCACCCGCTGCCAGCGCGCCGGGAGTGAAAAATGAGACCCTGCTGTGCCGAGGGCTGGCGGGCGCTGAGACACGGAGAGCAGCCGGGGGAGGCTGCTGGGGTGAGGCTCAGCAGGGCCGCTGCAGGGAAAGGCTGGCTGAGGGCTGGTGCCCCTGGCTGGAGGGTGCTGGCTGCGGCTGTGCCAGCGCTGCCCGCCCTGCCTGGGCTCCGGAGCATCCTGCTAGCATCCTTCCAGCATCCTTCCAGCATCCTGCCGGCATCCCGCGGGCCCGATTGCCGCGAGGTTGCATCAGCCGCGGGCCGCGTGTGCTTCCCCGGCAGGAAGGAGGTGGGAGGCTCCCTGTGGTCACCCAGGCTGGGCTGGCTGGGGGCCCTCCCCCGCCACCCTTGTGCTCTGGGGGTGCTGCTGAGGCCCTTCGCTGCTGGGAAGGGCCCGGGTGGTCCCCGGGCTCCTCCAGCTGCAGAGCAGGGATCTCTGGGTGCACAGCATGGGGAGAGGTGGCCTGTGTGCCTCTGTGTGTGTGTGTGCACATCCCCTGCTCCCAAGGGGCCGTGCTGCCCCTGCCTTGCACCCACCTCCCTGCTTGGGGCCACTTGTAGTTATTTCTCCTCCAAGTGCTGAATATACATATTTCTCTTTTTTATTTTTTTTCCTTTCTTTTTTTTTTTTTTTTTTTCCCCTCCACTTCTGGCTCTGCCCAACTCCGGACAGCCTGCAATGTAAAACCAAGTGCATTTTAAAAATACCGAAATGAGCTACATTGGAGAGGCACCAATTGGATTAAGAGATTGTGGCTTGGGAGGCTGCAGCGTGGCCCGCGGTCTGCGCCGCGCATCCCTCCATCACCACCAGAAAAAGCCTTACCCAGGGAGGGAGGGGGCAGCAGCCACGGCCCCCACAGCACTGCACAGCTCCTGGGGCTGGGGGACCAACCCCACACAGAGCAGCCTTGGTGCCTCTGTGCAGCTCCAGCAGAGAACAGAGATTTCTGAGGCAGCTGCCTGACCTATTTTCGAGCTGCCTGCCAGGGGCCAGGCAGGGATTCACCCACATGGAGCTGCCTTCAGGTGTCTGGGGCTCAGCACATTGCTGTGGGGGTGTGTGCCTTGTTCTGGGGGCTCTGTACACTGCTCCAAGGGCTCTGCATTGCCCCAGGGGCTCCATCCACTACTCCAAGGGCTCTGCATTGTCCCAGGTGCTCCATCCACTGCTCCAAGGGCTCTGCATTGCCCCAGGGCCTCCATCCACTGCTCCAAGGGCTCTGCATTGCCCCAGGGGCTCCATCCACTGCTCCAAGGGCTCTGCATTGCCCCAGGGGCTCCATCCACTACTCCAAGGGCTCTGCATTGCTCTGAGGCTCTGTACAGTGCACCAGGAGCTCCATACACTGTTCCAAGGGCTCTGTGCATTGCTCCACCAGCTCTGTACGCCACCCCAAGGGCTCTGTGCATTGCTCTGGAGCTCTGTACACTGCTTCCAGGGCCTCTGCACATTGTCATCTCGCAGTTTCTCTTTAGAACTGCTGGTGCTGCCGAGGCTGCTGCCCTCTCCTGTCCGGCCGCTCACTGCCCGCAGCAGCTGCTGCATCACTGCCACGTCGCAGCCTCCGTCAGCATCTCCACGACAGCCGCTCACTGCCTGTGTCTCCGGACACACCAGCATCAGCCAGGGCCCAGCAGCCCCAGCACCGATGGCCTTTTGCTCCTGGCCAGCTCCTGGGGGACCCTTGTCACCCGGGTGGGGGACACTCAGGGCAGGTGCTGCCCACCCTCACCAGCAGCCGGGGCCGGGCCGTGTCCCTGCCTGCCACGGAGGAGTCGGGTCCAGCACTGCCACGGGCAATCTCCTGCTGTACATAGATCCTTTTGAGGTGATTTTTAGCATTTTCATGGATAATTGGGGTTTTGGTTTGGTTTGTTTTTTTTAAAAGACTCTACTTTTTGGAATGTGGTTTCTCATTTTTACAACTGCCTTTTAATTATTTGTAATATTGGTCAGTTCTGTCTTACTCTGTAAATAGTGGTGCTGGGCATTTCCCAGGGGTGCTGAGATGAGGCTGGCAAGGAATTTGTGGGGAAAATTTGCTTAAGGTGTGGAGATGGCTGATTCCAGTGCAGTCCCTCCATGGATTCTGCCCCTGTCCACATGCCAATGCCCAGCCTGGGGTGAAACCCGAGGTGTTTTGGGCAAAGCCACTCTTGCCCCTGCCCTGTCCTCCTGCTTCCTCTCACCAGCCCATGCCAAGGTCGCATGAAGGGCACCTCCTGCCCCGATGACAGGCTCTCTGCCCACCCCATCCTGCACCCCTGTGTCATGCCTGCTAGTTGTGTGATGAATAAAGGCCCTGCAACCCCTCACCCCACCCTTGGTGCTGCCTTCCCGTGCTGTGGTGGGGGGACCGTGCTGCCTGTCCTGTCTGGGGCAGTGCTGCTGCAGGGGGAGGAGTGACACGATCCTGTCCCCCTGTTCCTGCCATCCTGCCTGCTGCCCAGCCCACTCATGGTGTCCCATCCTCTCCTCACCCACCTCTGTCCCTGACACCATCCCCATGTGCTGACCCCAACTCCAGGGCTCCTTGTCAACTCCACTGCCAGCGCTGTCACCCCTCACCAGGCTCCCCTCAGCTCTGCACTGTCCTTGTGCTGCTGGTGTTTCTCACAGCTGCCCTGTCCCATCCCAGCCTGCCCAGCAGCTCACCCCAGCCTGCACACACCCCCACATCCCCCCTTCCTCTGCTGCCAAGGCTTCCTGCCCTTGTGCCCCCGGGTTGGACTCAATGATCTCAGAGATCGTTTCCAGCCTGAATGATTCTGTGATTCCCTGATGACCTGCTGTTCCCAGCCTCCCCTGAGGTTCACTCCATTAAACTCTCCCACCCTGAGGTCCTCTGTCACCCACCAAAACCCACTATCCTTTTCTTCTCTTCCATCATCCTTCATGTCCCACCCCTTTCATCCCTGCTCTTTGATCTGCCATGTTCCATCCCTCTTTATTGTGCTCTTTCATCAACCCTAGCCCAACCCAGCCCTCTTTGCTCCTTCCTGTGCTATTCCATCCCACTTCTCCTTCCCATGTTTCTTCACCCACCATACCCCATCCTTCCTGTGTATCTTCTTTTATGTCCCAACCCTTCTTCCACTGCTCCTCTGTTGTTCACTCATCCTTCCTTCCTTGCAGTCATCTGCTGTGTCCCATCCTTACCTGCCACCCTCCTCCATCACCCACCAGGTCCCATCCTTCCTTTCTGTGCTTCTCCATCAGCCACCATGTCCTGTCCATCCTTCCTGTCCTGCATCCTCCACCATGTCCTGTCCTTTCTTGTGCTCCACTGTCACCACCTCCAATCCCTCCCTGTTCTCCCCACTCCCTTCACATCCCATCCCTCCTTCCACACCTTCCAGTGTGCTGTCACCAGCTGTATCACATCCCTCCCTGCCATGCTGTGCTCCTCCACTACACACCATGTCCCCTCCCACCCTCTTGTGCTCCTGCATCCTATCCCTCCTTGCTCTCCTCCATCACCCACCACCTCCCATCCCTCCTTCCTGTGCTCTTCCACTGCCCTCCATATCCCACCCTCCAGTCTTCCACTTCCATCCTATCCCTCTAACCTGCTCCTTCATTCACCACATCCTGTTCCTGATCTTCATTCACCACCACATTCTTCTTGATTTTTTTTCCTTCTTCACCTTCACCATACCCCATCCATCCTTGCCTTGCTTGGCCTTCAGCTTTTCCTTTCATATTAATGTCAACATCTCACTGTCTTCTTCAGCTCCCACCACCACTGTCCTCTACATCTTACCATCAGTTTGTCCCTCCTCCTCCATTGGCTCCCACCTTCACCCTAACCTCCTCCACTCCTCATCTTTTCCACATCTTTCTTCATCCTCTTCTCTCTCCTATCTCCTCTCTCAATCTCCTTCACTTTCCCATCCCAAAATCCATCCTCACCTCCCAGCATTTTACCATCATTTCAACTGCTAATGTCACCCCAATTTAACTTCTCCACCTCCACATTTCCAGTCCCCTCTTTGTGCTTATCCATTTCCCATCTCCTCATTCGTCCTCCTCCACTGCCCTCCACTCTTTGTCTTCTTTTATCCCCTTAGTGTCTCTCGGTTCCTCCTGTCATCCATGTCCATCTCTGCTGTTTCCTCATCCCTCCTCTTCTCCATCTCTCCTACATCCTTTTCCTCCACCACCTGCTATCTAATCTCTGTTTTCCTCTTCCATTTTGTCCATCTTCATCCTCCAATTCCCACTGTCCTCCATCCTTCCCCATGCCCCACACCACCCACCCTGTCCTTCCTCACCCTCTCTACCATCTGCCCAGTCTCCTCATCCTCCCCAACCTCACTTTTCATCTTAATTGTCCTTTCCACCATCTTCCATCTCCTTCACCCTGTATCTCATACTTCTTCCTCCACCTCAGTCCTTCCTGTGCCCCTTCACTTCCCATTGTTTCCCATACTTTTTCCTGCAGTTTCACCTCTTGCCCTCTCACTCTCGACCTCTGGCTATCTCACCATCCTTCATTATTTGCCTCCCACAGTTTGCCTGTTTCTCCTTATGTTCCTCCAGTTCTCCCCACCTTCCTATCTCTCTTCACCCCTTAAGTGTCCCACCAACCTTACAGATCTCCCTCTCCACCCCTCCCTGACCTCCAGCCACCCTTCCTTACCTCACAGCTCCCTCTCTAACTGTCCTTACATTCTCCTTCATCTCCTACCTGTCCTGATTTCCAATCTTCTCCCAGCCCAACCTCTCCCATTCCTCCCTGCACTCTTTTACTTCTAGCACATCTAACTCCAGCTGCAATTTTCTGCTTCTCACTTCTCCTGCCTTATATCCCATCCCTTACCAACCTAGGAAAGCCACTACCAGCTCAGCCACCCCTGATGCACACAGGAAGGGCCCTTCTTGACGTCACAAAACACTTCTCCCTAGGACTAGCCATGGGGGAAAAGGGGATGACCTCTGCCCTTGGAAGGTTACTGAGTAACTCAGCTAGATAAAGTCACCAATATCCTGATCTAACATTAGCAATAACTAATATGGAACATGGAGCTTGACTAGATTCCCCTGGGATCACTTCAAGCAGTGAAAGATTTCCGGGAGGGGTGAGAAAGGCCGGGAATGGCTTTGAAGGTGTTGCCTGGGATGCTGCAGGACGTGAAGAAATATCCCTGCCACTTGCAGTTGCTCCATGGTGCTCAAGCAGACCCACCACACACTGCTCCAGCAGGACCATCCCATACTGCCTGAGCAGGAACATTCCATGCTGCCTGAGCAGGAACATCCCACCCTGCTTGATCAGCATCTCCCCAAACTGCTCAAGCAGGACCTCTCCAGGCTGCTTGGGCAGGATCATCCAATGTAGCTGGAGCAGAATCTTCCCATGTTGCCCAAGCAGGACCATCCCTTGTCGCTTGAGCAGGACCACTCCAGGCTGTTCAAGCAGGACTATTCCCAGGCTGCTTGAGTACCATGGGCCATCCCAAAGAAGCTTCCTGAAAAGCTGCCAGCTCCCAGGCCAGTGAGTGATCCCTGAGCTGTCCCCTCAGACCCAAGAGCCAGGGATCTTTCATCATCCTTGTTGTCCTCCCCTCAGGCTGGGCCCTGCAGGGCCACGGCCATCCCCTTCCAACAGCCTTACAGCAACACTAGGGCACGAGGCTGCTGGCACTGCTGCCAAGGGGAGCACAGCTCTCCTCTCCATCCCAAGGGAGCTCCAAACCCTGCAGGACCTGCATGCAGGGCCTTTCCAGAGCCTCCTGTGTCACTCACACACAAGGGCCAGCCAGCCTTGCTTCACAGAAGACCCTGCTGGAGGCTCCCAGCCATCCCATGGAGGGGATGATGCCCTTTCCTAGGGGCTGTCCCACTGCAACACAGGGACAGGGCACCAAGTGTCTTTATAGGGTGGGGGTGACATTTGTAAAGCATTCCTGCCCATAAGCCTTCCTGGCTGGTAAATCTGGGGAAGGGTGGAGGGAATTTGCTACCTGTGTTAGGGACTAGCTGAACTTACGTGTCTCCCCAAGCTGGATTTCTTATTCCAAATGTTCAAACTGTTGTATATTGTACTGGGATTTTTACATTGAATTATTGTAGAAAACAAAAACTTAAACTAAGTCTGTTAAAAAAATAAACATTAAAAATCTCTATGAAAAAAATAAATGTGAGCTTGTCTCCACATCCTCTCCCTACGAATGTGCCAGAGCAGGGATGTGTCTCCAGCGGTGGCTTTCCAGCATGAGACCACACCACCCTCTGGTGTCAGCTCCGACCTCAGCTCCGTGCTGGCCCTGCTCCAGCCGTGTCCCTTTGCTCCCAGCACATCCTTGCACTGCCTTAAATCCTGCCCAGTCAAAGCAGATCCCATCCTGCTCCCAGCACATCCCCGCATGGCGTGGGGCAGGATGCGGCTAAGGCAGAAGGAAGCAGAGAGCAGAGCTGCTCTGTAGGGTGCTGCCATCACCCTCGCAGCCCCACCAGGCACTGGTGCTGCTCCCCAAGCTGCTGGAGTGTGAGATGTGCTCCTGTGTCCATGCCTCACCCTGGGCACGACCGAGCCTGAGCTCCAGCTATCCCTCCCTGCTCAATAAAACAGGGACAAAAGAAGGCAGCCACGTTTATGGGAGTGAAAGGACACGCTCTGAAGCCTGGGGACAGCTCACACAGGGAAGCTTTTTATTAAACCCCAATCTCTTTGCTGTGCTGCTGATAAAGGCGCTGCTTCTCCTGAGCCCAGTTTCCTTTCCTCTGCAGCCCAGGCTTCCAACAAATCTCTTACCGACCTGCCCCCCTCTCTCAGAATGAAAATAGCACCAGCTGGCAGAGCCCAAGTAAACAAATGAGCCGCTGTGAGAGGAGAGAGCATCTTTATAAGTTAATTGGCCCCATCTAAGAGTCAGACAGACATTTTCCTGTGGATAGATCGCTCAAGAAGCTCAGGCAAACAGCACTAACATGTCTCCTGGGCTTGATTTATAAACCTGATTGCGTTACTAGCTCATTTCCATATAGAATGATTATGAATATATTGTCTGTACTCTGCAGAGGGCTAAATTACCAGGCTCTGATATTCATCAGCTACTCCTTGAAGCTTAAAACCGCCTCAGATTCAGAGCTCTCTCTCTCAGTGACAGCAGGGGTAGAAAGGAAACAGCTCGGGGTTGATCCTTGTTTTCAGCACAACCTGGCCTGTTTTAACACCCTGATTAAGCTGGAGGGAGGGTGCAGCCTGAGCCAAAGGGCTGTGGAGCAGGGAAGTGCCGGAACCCAGAGCCAAGTGTATTGGTATTGAGCAGTTACATTTACAAACAAAGGAGCTGATAACTCCCAGCAGGACTGAAGGGCTCTTATCGTGGTGCTGATTAAAATTTCCTCTGCAGCCAGCGACGAGGGGGAGTGTCCTCAGTGGGGAGACAGTACAAGCCGGTGTTTAACCCTGTTGCTGCTGAGTGCTGATTCATTCAGCACAAGTGAAGGGCTGCCCACCCTGGCCATGTGCTGAAAATCAGCCCAGAAAGCCCCAGCAGGAAGATCCACAGCCTGGTCACATCCTCTCACTCCATCTCCTGTGCCTCCCACTCCATCTCACCCCTGCTCTGCAGGTCCCAGGAGTTTTTGCTGGTGTCACTTGTGATTCCTTCCAAATCCTTTGCTCTTTTGTTCTGCCTCTCAATTCTCTACCCTTGCCTGTGGTTAAAAAAATCTTTCCCTTCCCACTGCAGGATATTATGATAAAGGCTCCCACTGCCTCTGGCATGGCCATGCAAGGCACAAACTTGTTTGTGCTGTGGTAAGTTCACCAAGAGTAAGGTCCATGATAAAAGGATGCCTTCTCTGATTAGCATCACTGATAGCTGTATCACCAACCTGCTGAATCTGCCTCACCAGGCCCTGGTCCAGGCTGCCCTGCCCAGGAGATGCTCTGGGAGGAGTGGACAGGCAGTGGGAGAGGAGGTGGCTTGCTGTCGTCCTCCAGACAAGCCCATCAGCCTCAGCCATCACACTGGTGCCTCGGTGTAGCTCAACACCTCTGTGCCTTCCTGGGCTCCTTCCTCCACTGCTGTGGGTTGCATCCTTCCTGCCCGATACTCTCAGTGATTTGCATGAATGGATGTGATTCCCACATTTATTGGCAATAAGGCCAGTCAGAAGACAAGGCCCTGGGACCCCACATGGACTTCCACGTAAGTCACCTCTTCATCTGGAGCAGTGCTTTGCCCAAATTAGCACAAGTTTCCCATGTGAGGCTGCCTCCTGCTGACCCCACCAGGATCAGAAGGCCTGAGGTTTACAAACCAGTTCACACTTTCCAGCATCTTTCCCCCACCCTCAGCATCTCTAGGACTGAGCTCTTTCATGTCTGGGAAGATGCAGTGAAGGCTCCCACCACAGCTGCTGTGTGGGTGCTGCACTAGAGAGGCAGCTTCCAGAGCATCCCAAGCAGAGTGTGAATGAGACACCACATATCCTGGCCAGTATATTTTTCTTGACCCCCTGAGTCACTTTAAGAGACCTTAATATACATTAATGTATACACTTGAGGTACTTTTATTCCTTTACAAGAAGAGGGAAATAAAGGGCCTATAATGCAGCTGATTTTCCAGGACTACCTGCTGAATTAGGAGGGTTGGGAGCCAAGATCAGAGCAAGCCCTGCAGCATCCAGCCTCACCAGCTCCCAGGGCAGGAGCCCAGCTGGATGCAAACTGCCCTCAGGTGGAGGAGCTGGAGCAGCTAAACATGGGCACACAGCAGGAACCCCTTTCCTACATCCTGTAAAATCACCAAAAGAGGCCTGGACATATCAACAAAGCATCCAAGGCCAGGTTGGATGGGGCTTGGAAGAACCTGGCCTAGTAGAAGGTGTCCCTGTACATCGGAGAGACTTGGAATGAAAAGTGCTTTAAGTTCTCTTCCAATCGAAAGCATGATTCTGTGGTTTTTCAGCTGTTACACACAGAAATGAAAATGTGAGGAGGGCTGTGTTTGTGCCATGGGGGTCTGACTGGTGGTACCACCTCTGTGGTTCACAGCCCTGTATGCAGCTGCTTGGAGAGTTACTGGAAGAGGAGAGAGCTGGGGAAAACAACAGGAGACTGTTTGGAATTTTCTGCTTTGCAGGTGCTTTCTGAGAGGAGATGCACCCTCTCCCCATCAGGCAGCTTCCTGGGGCACAGCTGTGGACAGCTGCAGCACAAGAACAAAATTCCCTGGCTGGACAAAATGCTCAAGCTGGACAATGCTGGATGAAGGACAGCTGTGGGGCTCGTGGGACATGGTGCTGCCCCAGCCTCGTGCCTTGGAATGTCCTACACACACAGGCAACAGTTGCTGGACAGAAATCATGCTGTCACGGAGGCTGGTGGGGCATTTCAGCTGGTCAAATCACTGAAAGCAAAAGGCCAATGAGAAGGGAAGCAGAGGGTGCCTCCCTGATCTGCAAACTACCTCTTCACTGGCTCTGGGACACTGTCCTGTGACAAGGAGAGTGACAAAGCCCTTTCCCAGCAGTGGGGTGAATGACAGCCCCCTTCCTGGCACATAGGGGGGCAGAGGGTTTGTTAGAGAACTGCTGGTAAATGCAAAATCCCTGGGACACAAGCTGCTGGAACTGAAGGCTGGCAACTCTTAACAGAAAATTATCAGCTTGAGGTAGATTGTGAAGGGCTTTAGAAATGCTGGGTTTGTCCCACTTCTCAGTGTGGTTTCCAGCTGGGGTTAAATGATGTGCCAAGTGTACCCATGGAGCTGTGTCCAGACCATAGATCCAAGGGGAGTGCTGGAGTGCAATTCCCACAGCTCCTGAGGAGCTTCAAAAGTGCCCCTGTCTGAGAGCCCAGGCTACAGAGACAAATTGACTTTTTCTTTAAAAAAACCCACATTTTGTAACAGGGAATTTGGAGGTAATGATGCTGCTGGCAGGTTCAAGGGAAATTTCTTGCAGGATTCAGCTGTATCCTTACTGGTCTACCCACAGAGAAAGCCTGGGCTCAGAAACTAGTGATCCCAGGCTGAAAGTCCAAAAAGCAATGGGCTAAAACTAGGCATCTGGATGGATTGGACTTGTGCTGGAGGCCTCACCTTCATCCACATGATAGAGATTGAGACCCTGCACACTGATCTTCCTGTGTTTTTTTGTTCTTTGTTTTTGTTAAAAACAAACAAATAATATGAGGCCACACTGTAGCTTTCCAGGACAGGGATTTTATAGCACATGGCTGAGGAAGCTTTGTTACACGGGCTACAGCATGGTGTGAGGGTGGCTGACATATTTGGGATGTAAATCCTGCTAAGCTCATGTTGGAGGTGTGTAGAGAGTATCTCTGGAGTGATACTGTCCACAGGACACAGCCCATGCAGGGAGGTTTCACCTGAACTACTCTGGGGTTTCACCTTGGAGCAAACCAGCTGTGTCCTCCTAAATGGGGTCACAGAAGAATCTTTGTCCTGAAGCAGTGTGGGCAAGCAGAAAATTGACACTGGAGCAGGGAGCTGCAGCACAGCTGTGCCCTTCAAAACTAGAGAACATCCTTAATGAAAAATACACACCAGCACTGCTGCTTTTGCCTGTAGAACTGTTTCTGGCCTCTTTGCTGAAGAGAACATTGCTTGGACTGGCAGATAATGCTCACCAGTCCACAGGTTTGTGTGTCCTCCAATCTACAGCAGGGCAACACTCCCAGGGAGTGCACACAAGCACAGCAAATGCAAGGATAGCAGAGTAGGCTGTACCTGCTCTGATACCGTGCCAACTTCAAGTTTATGGACTTTAATCTTTCCAGTGCTCCTTGGCCCTGGACCAAACCAGCACAAAATTCCCAGGGCAGGTGGCTGCCTGGGCACAGCAGTGCTTTGCTCCAGAGGCTGCTATTCCCCAGTGGAGAAAAGGAATTTGAGGTTTTGGCAGCCTGCCTATGAACCATCCTCTTGGCAGGCCATGTCATAGGGGCAGGCAATGCTGTTGGTGCAGTTGGGCTCAATGCAGGGAATATTAAGGATTGGGATGACAAGGAGTCTGCTGCAGGAGGTACAACCACAGGCAACTCCTGCTCTGAGACCAGACTCTTGGAATCAGAATCAGCTGGTCCTTGGCAGACCCCAGCTCTTGTCTCCCGCTCC